CGACTCAATAAAATCGACCAATCTTATTCTTCTCGACCCGGGTTATTGAAACTAGACCGAGTTAATCAATCCAACCATAACACCTATGAACCGATCACTATACCAGTATAGTTATGCTATAAACCCTTAACAAGTCAAGATCGATCAACAATTAGAAGAACCATGGGATCAAATCATCAACTATCTGGCTCGTGATATTCTTTTATGGTTTGGTATCTCCAAGGTTGTTGAAAACATTTTTTTAACATGATATGGAATATACAATATAAACCCGGATTATAAACTCAAATCATAAATAAAATATTTTAATTAATTATGTATTAATAATTCCAGTCAAGTAGTAAATAATAATCTAGTGTAAGGTTTAGCCATTGTTTACTAATATGATAAATATTGTTTTTGAAATGTTTTAACTTTGAAATGTATTAAAATAATATTTTTATTATTATCTTTAAAAAATTATTTTTAATATCAATACATTAAAATAATTTTAAAAAATTATTTAAAACTTAAAAAATAATTAAGGATCGATTTCTATGACTTTACTCACAAAGTTAATTCACGATGTTTGTCTTATGTCTTTCCATCCTTGTTGATGTTTTTATTCATAAGGCAATGTAAATCACCGAGACTGAACAAAATCTCAATCTCACAACATGACAACAAAGAAAACATAAAACCTTACTAAAAAGAAAAAAATACAAATATGATTTGCATTCCTCCTCCTTTTTCTTCTTTCACTTTAATGGCATTGACCAATAATCAAGAACTACATGAGAACCAAAGTAAGGATATGGACGAGGGATTGGCTCTAGCAATTGAGACGATGTGAAAGGAAAAGAGAGAAGATGAAAGAGGAAGGAGGTTTTCCCCTTTGTTAATACCCATTGAATTTGCTTGGTAGGGACTTGATGTTAAGGGTTTTGAACAACCTCGATGCACACAGCGTGGCATGATGTGTCGACATCTCTCAGGGCTGAACCTCCAGGGTGTTTTTCTTTTATCTTTCCTTTTTAATTGATGTTTGTGTATATTCTTTTTTAAGAAATCTACAATAAAGGGTCTATAGTAGAGTGCATGATTGAGGATAAAGAAGAGTTTGAAATGGACATGGAGATCAATAGAGAGTTGGAGAGTTTGTCAACTAATAAATACATAGAGAGTTGAAGAGTTTGTCAAACTTGTAAACTCAGTTCGAGTTTACCAAGTCGAGTTTGATCGAGTTTGTTGATTTTCAAGTTTGTAACCCAATTGCACATGGTATGTATAAGTTAACTTGTAGAATCATTCGATTTTATGAGTTAACTCGTGAGTTTGACAACCTTGAGTGTCTCTTTGAAGATGTGGTATATACTATTTTTCAAGGTGTTTTTCGCTTAGAAATATATTAGAATAATATTAAAAAAAATCTTGACATCAACACAACAAGATTATCAAATAACACGTAAAAAAATCAATTGAAGTTAAGAAAAAAATTCAAAAAATTTCAAAAGCGTGGTTGAACCACAGTATCAAGCATTACCTTACTATGTGTTTATTTGTATTGGATGAATCATGCGGTCAAATCACTGGTGATCTAACTTGTGACATTTTACTATTTAGTGCATGTATGGAAGTGTGGTAGATGTTGTTTTTTAAATTATTTTTTGCTTAGAAATACATCAAAATAATATTTTTTATTTTTTAAAATTTATTTTTGATAGCAGCATATCAAAATGATTAAAAAACACGTAAAAAAATAATTTAAAGCTGAAAATAAATAAAAAATAGTTGAATCGCAATGCCAAACATTACCTCAATATAATGTGCCCGTGCTAGATGAATCGTGTAGTCAAATCATTGCCTATCTAACATGTGACCTCCTTTTTATGGTTTAAAGTGTATTTATCTATAGGGTGTATAACATGATGCCCTTTGTGAACAGATAATGTCTTAATCTGAGAAAAAAAATACAAGTTTATGGATATAAGATAAATTGCTGCATAACTCTTTTTTTTTCAGTGTAGTGTAAAAAAGGAACAAAAAAAAAAAACTAGCCTCTCTTACAACGTAATATAAGAAATCCACAAAGTACTATTACATAAGTCTAACATTGTACTTGATGGGATTGGTAGAACATTTTACTTCATCAAACTACTAGATAGGTGACTCACATTATATCATGAATCGAGTCAATTTTTTTTCAATGTAAAAAAATATGATCAAACAATGATAACATCTTAAAAGGAGCATGAAAAATCCAGGTCACAATTCATTGATCCAAGCAAGTTCATTAATCCTGGTTGATTCATTATGTGATTAAAAAAACCAACAACAACAACAATAAAAATGTCAGTAGCTAATACAAAAAATGAATGCTTGTTGGTGTTATGAAAATGTATTTTTAAAATATTTTCAAAAGATCTCAACGATCTTGTTTTGTATTAAAGAAAAAATTAAGTGAGAACGAGATAATCTCACAAGGATAAGACTGAAACAAATTCAAAGCTTGGTTATTAGCAAAGCAAACATTGGATGATGAACCAGAAAAAAAATTAATTTTAAAAAATAAAAAAAAACCTGACTCAGATCAATATGCTAGATTTACACCTTGATTACGATAACCTCCTACTTAAGAAACTGAATAAAACAATGGAGGTTAACTCCCAAGCAAACCAAATGGCGAAAGCCAAAATTAAAAAAAAAATATCAATTTGGAAAAAATATAAAAAACTTGATTTAATTTAGGCTAACTCTGTTACTCAAGATATGCTATAGATAACCCATCATATAAGAAAGTAGAAGAAATCACAAAGCTTAATACTCAAAAACTTAATGTTGAATGATGAAATTGAATTTTTTTTTTTTAAAAAGGACATAAAACTACTAAAGTTAAACCGAGCCAGTCTTTGAAACTTAAGGTCAAATCATGCTAATCTTCGAAACTTGTTATTCCATTCCCGAGATAGAGACTACCCCGTGGAAGGTAAACATGAAAAATCATAAAGCAAAATTTCTAATTATCATAAAAAAAAACAAATATCAATCAAAACATCAAAGAACCAAATCTAATATATAACTAAATGAAATAAATTAACAAGGGACTGCATTGAAAAATAAAATAATTAAGAAAAAGATAAAAAATAACAATAAAAATATCAAGGAGTAAATTGGATATAAAAATTAAACAAAATAAAAAAGAGATAAAACAACAAAATAACAATTAAAATAACAAGAACCGAATTAGATACATAAATTGAATTAAATAAAATATCGATAGATGAAATTGAAAAAAACACAACTTCAAAATCATTAAAAACAAAACAAATAACAATGACTAAAATTGATACAGATATAAACTAATATGACACATTTAATTTTTTAAAGAAAGGGCTCGTAACTTGATGCGAGGATAGAAAAAAAAATCATTAGAACTCAATCATTGCTTCTCATACACACAAGTCCGACCACCAAGGATAGGACGACTCAATGTTTCTAACAACATCGTGAAAGTTAATGTGTGACTATTAAAAAATAGCACACATGTCATTCAAATAAGATGATGTGTCAAATAAGATGATGTGTGACCACTTATTGATGATTGTATTATATATATTAGCTATTTTTAATTTTTAATTATATTTTTATTTATTAAAATACCATGCTGCACCTCATTTAATTTGACTCTAACTAAAGGACACCTAAGAAAATACAAAAAAAAGCCACTTGACGTCGGTATTTTTTTTTTATTGCTTACAAGGGCAATAGAATAATTTAATTGAGCAATTAATGCATTAAAAAACTTAAAAGTTCCTGGATCCCAATTTTAAATGATGCGCCTTCAAAGATATTTAAATCATTTAACCGTATTTATAAAATGTTAAAAAATTAACTTGTCCTGACCAACATTACAATGACGAATAAACCCTCTAGAAAATATTATTTTACCCCGTATCTTGGCCAAACAATCATTTCACTATCTTAGGCTAAGATACCGATTATTTAGTTCCCAGTACGAGTTACAGTTTAGTTTACCCCTTCCACAGTAACCTTTATTTCACGTGGTCTCACAATTATACATATATTTTTTAATATATATAGTTCGGGAATAACAAAATGAGAATTTACAACAACAAAATATATAGACGAAATATTAAGCCATTTCATATATATCTTTAAATTTTTCAATACACAGTAACCATATGAAATATTAAGCCATTTCATATATATCTTTAAATTTTTCAATACACAGTAACCATATTATAATAAAGTACTGAAGGAGTCAAAGTCTCATTTCATTCTCCCATTCCTTAGCTGGTACGAGTTGTAATATCCTCTAATCGTTGCGTACTCTTAACGACCAATTTTTATAGATTCCTATATTCACCGGGAATGCACCTTTACTATGCAGCAACCCTTCCAATTTTGCCACGTTTACAGGATCAATCCGGGCGAGGTCTCCGGTTCAGGTCAGATGGCCGGTGTTTGAAACTGTGATTTTATTATTTTTTAAAATATATTTTTAATATTAGTAGAAAAATTATTTTTTTTAAAACTGCTCAAAGCTGTGAAAACAAAAGCGGTTTAGAGTGCAATTCCAAACTATATTTCATGAAAATTAAAAAAAATATTTTTATTTTTTTATATTTTTTAATTATTTTGATATATTAATATTAAAAATATATATTTTTTAAATATTATATTTATAAAAAAAAACAACTGATATTCCATTTTCAAACGGCACTGATTGTCAAATGAATGTGATGCGGCTGGTCATTGAATGGGTATGGGCAAATTGATATTCTTTTTTTTTTTTCAAAAAAAGCTCAATTAAAAGACACCAATGATATAAATAAAATGCAATTCAACTCTTTTACTGCAATGCGTTTTCAAGTACCTTGAAATGATCGACGAGATATTCAGTCGATATTTCTTACTTTTCTGCTGTGTTGCTCTAAATAAAAAATATCCATTCGGATTATATTTTTTTATTCATATAGTTGTGCTCTGCTTATGTTTTCCCGCGCATTGTCTTTCAATTTCCCTCCAAAACCAGAAAACCATCTTTCCTCTCTATCCCTGCCGTTGCTGCCTTCACACTCACTTCATCTGAAGCTCCTCCACCAGTGGACATGGAGATGGACATTCCTCTCCCGGACGAGCTTGAATTACTTGAAGCTAACTCTCACTTCTACCAAGACTACCTAGACCCTCCCTCACCCGATCCCTACACTTTCTCGCCTCAACTACAACCGGAACAATCACCTCCTGAATCACCCTCCGCTCCCCAAATTAACGACCACAACAAGCGCCCTAGATCCGACGGTCCGGATTCACCAAATCAGGAAGACGCTGTCCTCTTCGACGAGAAGAGAAGCAAAATCGACGATGATGCGGGAGAGGAGGTCGACGATGAGGACTGGCTCCGGCAGGTGCAGGATAGGAACGGCGGAAACGAGGAGGAGAGGGTGGAAGTTGTTGTCGAGGAGGAGGAGAAGGAGAAGATCGTGTCTAGATACTTGTCGGAGATTGACGGCGATTTTATTCCAGTGACGGCGCCTAGTGGTGGCGATAGGGTTTATGCAAAAATATGCAGAGTCGATGCGGAACAGGGAGCGAGGAAATTGGATTTCAAATCGCAATCAAATGGTGGGAATTAATTTTTGCTTTGTCGAAGATATCATGTTTTGTTTTTAGTAATTTTAGAATCCGGATAAATAATTAAAAAAAAAAAATCACTTGTTAGATCTCATTTTAGGTGAAATTTAAGAATCAGTTTTTATGCGATTGTCCTTCGCATTACTGTTCCGCCCTTTTAAATCGTATAGATTTTAAGAAATTGGAGTGGCATAAAGGGAAGGGTTATTAGATTACTAGTGGACCAATTTTAATTTCTTATGTATTAATTCCTTTTGTAGGTCTTATATCGGAACCAATTAATGTTCTTTTGCAAAGAATGGAGCAAGAAGCTTTTACCAAGGTATGGACATTACATGGTACATGGTAGTTTAAGCATGATTGAAGTGTCAACAATTATTGAGAATTTGAAATATCATGTTGATTTTGCTCAGCAAAGAATCAATGTATTGTAATTATGCAATCATGATTTTGAAACCTTGCTTCAATCTGTGTTTCGGTTCAGTGGGTCATTGCCCGCTACACACGTCATAAGAAAGTCTTCCTTTTAGTTTTGGGAGAATACACCAAAAGGCCAAGTGACGCAGATGTGGTGCATGTTAATCTAGATTTGTATTCATCCATAACTCATCAAAGCAAGCTATTTTGATTCTAGATGTTTGAAATTAGGAAAATGCTTCCTTTGAAATGTGGTCTGAAAACTGAAGAAATTAACCTCACGAGCCACTGTAATTTCTCTATCATTATGGTTTTCCTTGATATTTTCAATCTGGCATCTGCTTACAATTTCTGTCAATAATGGTATAGCAGATGATTTGTTAGTGGTCGGAGCCCTGTGAATTTATCTTAGGTGGTAGAGGGGTGCAGGGATTATTAGGGCCTGTTCGTAGGATATAATCTTAACGGCAACAATAAATCCCTCGTGAGATTCCTCACACATTATTCTTGTGGTGCTGAAGGCCTTGCAAGCTAGTTCTGAAGATCAGAGTGATGAGATTCTTCCAGAAAGACAAGTGATGCATGAAAAATTATGGGTGGAAAAATATGCTCCAAATTCATTTACTGAGCTGCTTAGTGATGAGCAGACAAATCGCGAGGTAAGTTGCAGTCATTGGTCAAAGTTCCTAAAAGGTTAAATTACATGCTTGTTGCTCATCATAAAAAATAATGGTTCTCAGGCTGAGCTCTTTTGGGATCTTTATATCTTTGCTCACAATTTAGTGAAAACTGTCACATTGCAGGTCCTCTTATGGTTTAAACAATGGGATTCTTGTGTTTTTGGATCTGATATTAGGAGTACATCAGATGACATTTTGTCCGCTTTAAGGCGTCATTCTTCTATCGCTCAACATCCAAAAACTTCTGATTCAACTTTCTTCAGCAAGAACAAAGGAAATATATGGAGTAGAGGGAATTTTAGACACTCTAATAATCTGGAGCAAGAAAATAGTAAATCAAAAGGATTTCAGGACTCGTGGACCAAGAAGCCAAGGCCTACTGGTCCACCAGAACAGAAGGTAAGCTAATAAAATCATATATTTTTCCTTAAATTTGGCCTGGAAAGAGAAGCAGTAGGAATTGTTTATACATGTACATTTTCCTGTTCACAGATATGCTTGTGCTGCTTTCATGAATTCAATTCATGAAATGATGAATGTAGATAAGTTGCTGAATTTAGTTCACATATATCTACTCTTGATGGTTCATGGCTTTCACGATGGATTGCTTGTTTCCTAATTCTTCTTAATTTGAGGTTTACATGTATCTGTTATAAGCTATGTCCATAGTGAAACACATTAATACAACAATGTTTCAAGTTGCAGTCACTTCACACCTTGAAAGGGAAAAAATATGACGCCATGATGCCTGACAATGGTCAAGCTAGATACATCACCAGTTGCAAGAAAACATTCTAACTTTATCATTCAGGCTAAAACACTCTCAATACTTCTCAATTAGGGATGACTCTTCGCAAGAATATGCTTGACCTGTAATGTACAATCCTAGGCCTTGATAGTTAATTCTCAAATGCTCCCAATCAATCATTCTCTGCATAAAATTCCTACTTCACGTGCTGCTCTCATGAAGGAAAACGTTAGCTGAGGATGAGTTTCGCTACCAAGCTTCACCAATTTCTTTGGTATGTGAACCTCAGAGCAGTTGGTGCCCATGTTTATAGGAGGCGGATAAGCCCATATGTGCTTTGAAACTATTGCTACAATGATTATTGCCTGGGTTTCCCTTGATACGAGTTCTATTGTCATTGTGAAATATCGTAACTATTTCTCTCTTCTTAGTTATAAAAATAATACCAGTTATGTTTTTTCTTGGATTTATCAAATGGAAATCTAGGCACCCGCTTATGTTTTACTGAGTGAAGAGGCTGATTGCCTTGGCATCCCTAATTCATCAACGGTGAATTGCCTTGACCAAGACATTTGCGCTATAATGAATTCTTGAGAATGGATGAGTTGTACCGTGTGTGTTTGTAGTTGGCTGTGCATCGAAGCTGTGGAACAGTCCCATTAGATGAATTCCTACAGATGCTGATAGGTCTACAACTATTCAGATTGTTAATAGGCCGAATCTACTGTGCTACCTTCTTGTATGTGAAGCTTGTCTGCATCTTAGCACGACAGACGCATACTATATGAGCCCACAAATCATTTTTATTCTTTTTATATATGGATTTGTGTGACATGGACATGTATTTCAATAAATTTTGAAGTGTTTATTAATGTAGATGATGGCCGTGACCTTGGATTATCTTGGCTGATTCAGTTCTTGTATGTTTTATGTCTGGCATATAGCTGAATTGTCAACTGGTTTTTTCAGGATCTTTCACCTTTTCTATTTATGTGTTGTAGTTGCTATATTTTTGGTCTCAACTGGTTTTTAGTTTTCAAATTATTTTATCATAGTTTATACCTTTTTAGATTTTTTCTTTACTCGTTAACATCTGTGAAACCTTGTTGTGTTTGCAATGGAAAAGAAATATTTGAATTTTTCTTTGTATTATCTAACTTCATCTAAATCAGATTACAAATTATTGATATTTTCTTGTTATTTATGATAGTTGTTTCTTTGCAGTCAATTTTTATCCGTGAAAACCTTGAGTAATTGAATCTTGTGACCATTGCAGATCCTTTTGCTTTGTGGTCCCCCGGGGCTTGGAAAGACAACACTTGCACATGTAGCTGCTAAGCATTGTGGATATCGAGTTGTAGAGGTCTTGCTTTTTACTTCTAACTGATTTGTATATGCATACCTGCAAAATCATGATCACTTAAGGCCATGATATTTTGGTTTCTTTTAATAGTTAAGTTTGTCCATGTATCTCTTACCTTGGATTTATTCAGTTTGGACAAGCTAACACACAAAAAATATTAAAGATATTATCGTGACAAGGCATATATATATACATATATATATTTTCTAAGCTCTTTATTTCGTGCTTGTTTTAGGTTGCATTGATTCATTTTAGTAATCTTAATGTTTTACGTTTAGTTATCCTACTTGTTTTTAAGGCATTCTTGTTTTAATAATGTTAAAATTCACCAAGCTTTATGTAATAGGTATTTTCTTCTTATTGAGAGTTTGAAACTATACAGATTAATGCTAGTGATGATAGGTCTTCGTCAACGATTGAAGCTAAGATTCTTGATGTGGTTCAGATGAACTCTGTGATGGCTGACTCAAGACCAAAATGCCTGGTCAATTACATTCCTTCACTTTGTGCTTGTTTTTTTCTCTCATATGGGATCTGAATATTTAAAAGAAGATGTTGATTTCTTTATAGGTGATTGATGAAATAGATGGAGCACTTAGTGATGGAAAAGGTGCTGTGGAGGTTCTTCTAAAAATGGTACTTAAATGGTATTTTGATCTTGTATTTTCATGTTTTATGATGTATACTTGAGACCACCCTTGTCCCATGCCTATTTTTTGCTTATTTTTTTCGTTCTTTATTGTAATTTTTATTTTCTTTATTACTGAGTTTCCCTTGAGCCTCTGAACTTTTTGGTTGCATCAGATTGTGCTTTTAGAATTTTTCCTTGTCAAAATGAAATGTAGCGGGGCGTTGATTTATTCGTTGGCTATAGTTTAATTTTGGAGATCACACTCTAAATTCTGATTGAAATAATATATTTTATATATTGTTCTCTTCTTGGAATCAATGCTAGTGCTTCTTGTTTGTCCTACCTTGAAGTTGAAGAACACAATATGGCTTATTTTATCAATATTATTGAATTCTAGAATATACATAAAATTTAGACATGGAAGGAATCTGCCACAAATTCCCTCCTTGAAGACATCTAATAAGGAAAATGCTATTCATCCCCTGTAAGTTGTTGCAACTCATAACTCCTTTAGAGGTAGAACCCTGATGCAAAAATAATCTTTTTTGTAGTAGTAGAACATAACAAGCTTCTTAATTTGTGACCTCTAGGATAACAATCAATTGAAGCTGATTTTCACAAGTACATTTATTTATAGTACACTCCCTATTTTTTAATCTTCTTAATAAAAAGGTATATCTGGTTTTTGTGATAAAATAGCCATAAGATTTGAGAATTATAATTTGAGAGTTGGAAACTCCACATTGATACATTACTTTTGTGATCCATCAACACCTGATATAGAATATGTCGTTTTAGCTTTGTGGTTTTATCATCTTTTGGATTTATTATGTTCATGCAGGTCTCTTCTGAAAGGAAGTCGGATACTGGGAAGGAAAATGTCACTAAAGGAGAGCAATCTGGAAGGGCATCCTCAAAAAAGGGGCAGAAAACAGCATCTCTGACGAGACCTGTGAGTTTGAAGTAGTCATGGATGGTTTATTTTGTAATATTTTTGTTTCCTTTCCCTCTAAATCCTTTTAAATTGACTTTCTATGTAGGTGATTTGCATATGCAATGACATATATGCACCTGCCTTAAGGCCATTACGTCAGGTTGCAAAGTAAGTGTTTCTTACAGATATTAAAGTGGCAATCTTCTGGTAAAATTTAGAAAGTTATCTTATAAAACCTCAATGCTTCTTATATTCAAGTTTCTTCAAATATAGTTTAACTGAAAATTTTCTAGTTTGGTATCAATCTTGTTTTTAATTGAATTAAAGTTGTAACACATTTATAGAAAAAAGTCTATTTATAATGTTTTAATGTGTACTTTCTTTTGAGAGGATTGTAATATAACAATGTGAAAGAGATCTCCTGAATCTTGGAATTACCATTTTCTGCAACCTGAGGTACTGAATGACATTTCAGGGTAAAGATGACAAAAGACTCAATATTCTTAATCTATTGTAATATAAGGATCCTTTTCAAGTTACATTCAAGACAATTACCTTGTTTAATCAATTAACTTCCTCAATCATAATCCACTGTAATATAAGGATCCTTTTCAAGTTACACTTAATACAATGACCTTGTTAAACCAATTACCTTCCTCAATTCGGATCTTAGCCTTAAGACAATGTTATAATTTAGTCAAAGACATATAATTGTCTTCACTGTCTCAACCTTCTTAGTTCATACTATGTACATCAATTCTTGGCATATTTATATGAATTATTTGGAGTTTACGAGTTTCAAATCATTATATTGATATGTGCATACTTTTTTTTACAGGGTCCATCTATTTGTTCAGCCGACTGTTAGCCGTATTGTAAGCAGGTTATGATTTTCATTGATTTATTTATAGCTCTAGCATTTTTGGTCATGTTCTTTGTAAACAAGTTAATTGATTGGCCAATTTTGAGTATCCTTCCCTAGCTAGAATATTGAAAGTTGACATATACAAGTTCCCATCCAAACGAATAGTATTTTATCATATTTGAAACAATGTATTGATACGATTAGGAAATAAGACTTCCTTTTCAAAGTAAGAAGAAAATGATCAAAACTCTAGAGCTTGTCGTATTTGACATCAGCTAAGGAGAATGCTCTAGAAGCTCCAAAAATTATCTAATTAGTCAAAATCTTTAATAAGGTCTACTCTCAGTTTCCTGACTTTTTGCTTATTTATTGATATTTAACTTCTAATCTCTATTAGATTACACATGTTGTGAAAGAAGATTAAAAACCATATTTATTAGTCCTCCCATGCTCAAATAAATTAGTACTTTCACAACACTAATTTTTTGAAAATTGGGCATCATAGGCTCAAATATATATGTAACAAGGAGGGAATGAAGACAAGTTCCATTGCACTTGCCGCACTTGCAGATTACACTGGTGAGTTATATTCCCTATCAGATATACGATGGTGTTTTAATTTTCCATTCCTGTCTTTAGTTCTTGTACTTCTATAAGATTTCATAATCAAAATGCTACAATTGGTTTGTAATATAAAATATCCATAATATAATTTTTCTTGCTTTTGTTTTTTTTTGTTAATTCTACTCATTTCATTTAACTTCACAGAATGTGATATACGCTCATGCTTGAACACCCTCCAGTTTCTTAACAAAAAGAGAGAAGTTCTTAACGTGGTAAGCTTTTAATGTGACATTGTCATTCTAAACTATCTATTAAATTTACCAAATCTCCCTGGTGATGCCAAATATAGGTCAACTTAATGTTTATGATTTGGTGATTCTGTTTTGACATTGACAAGAAATTCCTTTGGGAATTGCATCAATGTTTTTTGCTCCTTTCAATTTTGCTTAGTCTTATGGATATTGAGCATAACACGATACTCCATTATCACATATCACAAAACAATGAAAGCTATCGAAGAATGAATTCAGCCTGAAAAAAGTAGTCCTTAATCACAAAGGAAAAACTTTAATGGGAGAAGGGGCATTGGTCACAAACCATGGTTTAATATTGTTTTTCTAATAAATCAAGCCTCTATATTAGTCATTTCTATAATTATTTATTAGCTACACCAATATTTTTTTTTTAAGTATCTCTCAAAAAGTAAGACATCAAATTTGGTTAGATTTGTATCAATACATTGGAAAAAAACATGAGTAAATGAATAAATCATTTCACAATTGAAATTTACATAAAATCCTAAACTCTTGATTAATTTTCAGAATTCTTTTTAAAGGCACACCTCACCCACCACAATTCTTCTTATCAAGAACACTGGTCAGTTCTTCTTGAGCTATCATCTCAAATTTTATTAGGGTGGTTCAAAGGAGATTTAGTGCTTTTTAAGGATGATGATGGTGCTATTTCTCTTTGACTTATCTTTTGTTTTTTGTTGCTTTAATTTACTGACAATATTTTATTTACTCGGCCACAGCTGGAGATCAGTTCCCAAGTGGTTGGTCGAAAGGACATGTCAAGAAGTGTTTTTGATATTTGGAAGGAGGTGACATAAAGATTGTAGTTTCCATATTGTCTTTCCTAACTATTCATCCCTTTCCAGCATCTTTAGTTGTGAGTGTGTGCTACTTGCCTTGTAGATTTTCCAAAAGCGAAAAATGAAGCAGGATAGAAAATCTAAAAGTAGCTGTGGCAGCATGAGCAATGAATTTGACTCTTTGCTCTCCCTTGTATCTAATCGGTAGATAATCAATGCTTGTGAACCTCCTATACTCATTCTTCCTCTAGTTCAAACTTGCCTCTTTCTAGCTTTAATGCTTACTGTATATGCAGTGGTGATTATGATGTGATTTTGGATGGGATCTATGAAAACATCTTGCAGCTCCATTACCATGATCCAGTGATGCAAAAGACAGTAAGCCTTAGCTCCATTTTCTTTTGGACCACATGTGACTTTTTTATCTCTTACCTATTTAAGTCATTATCAAGTTTGACTTAATTGTAGGTCAAGTGTTTCAATAGTCTTGGTGTTTCTGATGTGATTCACCAATATATTATGCGTTCACAGCAAATGCCCCTTTATGGTAAGCATGTGCCTAGCTATCTTTCATATTAGCTTTCCCAATGCTGAATAGGTTTTGAATTTTAATCTTCTCATCTCATTTTCCACTTCTCTTTTGAGCAGCTTATCAGCCTTGCATTGCGATTTCTGTACATCAACAGGTAGCACAAATTCAAAAACCAAATATTGAGTGGCCAAGGTCTTATCAAAGGTATTTATATCTCTACTGTGGTTGGCACTTGATGTCAAACTTGTGCACTCACTTTTATACTATTATCATATCTTTTGCAAATCTTTAGATACCGAACTGCATTGATGGAAAAGATGGACAAGTTAAGGTCTTGGCAAAACAAAATTCCACCACATATTTCAAGGCACTTGTCTACTAAATCTTTTGTAGAAGACTCTGTTTCTCCCATCTTACATATCATCTCTCCTCCAACTCTAAGGCCGGTAATTTACTTGCACTTATTTACAGCTTCATTTAATCAGTACACTTTCATACTGTCTCCCCCTATCTCAGTCCGTTATGTTGCACATTTTACTTTGCATCATGAAAAACTAGTTCACTTTCATTTGAATCTCGTTTAAAGTCTGTATGTTCCTGTGATGACAAAAAGAATTCTTTTGAGCTGACTTGTCATTCATAAAAATTTTAACAAAAAAATTGTTTGTAATCACATGAGTTTTTTAAATTTTGCTCCTCTCTGATGAATTAATGACAACCTCAATAACTCAAACATTTTCTAAAAAATCTGAAATTCAATAATCTTCTCTAAAAAATAGCCTACAAGGCTATTTAAATACAAGAAAAACATTCTAATTAGTGAAATCATAATTAAACTGAAAATCCTAATTTATAGGAAAAAGAATCCAAATACACAAGGAAAAATAAAATAAAATCATGAGTAGTAAATTCTTGTTTAAATTTGGGTGTGCATCTAAAATTCAGATGAAATTGTTTTTTAAATCTTATAGGCAATAGGTACTTTAGAATGTTATGGCAAAATTTTAGCCTGACTCAATGGTTGTATCAAAAGTTATGATCCATTTTTGTTAAAGAAGTTGTTTGGTGTCTGAACTTTTTCTTTTTCTTAAGGTAGGACTTTTGTTATGTGCCCCACTTCAATTAATGCATATTTTCCTTTTCTTTTGCTTGTTGATGTTCTCATATAATTTGGAATTCTTGGTGTTTTTTCTCAGGTGGCATTGCACTTATTAACAGAAAGAGAGAAGAATGATCTAGTTCAGTTAGTGAGCACAATGGTATACTATTCCATGACATATAAGAATATCAAGTCAGATCATCTTTCCTGTAAGCAGGAAAACGAACCTGCTTTAGATGCTGCGTTGCTTTCTGTTGATCCTCCCATTCATGAATTCATTAACTTCAAGGTCTGCATTGTTCTTTAAGTCTCTGCAAAGCCAGTATGATTCCATATCTCATGTTTGCTGTCCGCATGTTTTTTTTTTTGGAATTAACAGGGCTATAGTTCTGGTCATTATGCGCTTCCGTTAGCCGTGAAGCAGGTTTTGGTGCATGAGGTGAGTGACAGTAATTTATTGCTTATTAATGTAGTCTTAATTTAACAGCATGATCACCTTAAGATCCAAAATTTAAAAAGGCAAAAGATCCCTAAGTTGGTTTCTGCAGACTGAAATGTGAACTAAATGGTTGCCTTGTTCTTTTCAGTAGTGATGGATTTGTTTGCCAGCAACTTATCGCTGTTGCAACTTTTCTATAGTTCGACTTCAATAGAGATGTAGTATTGAAAAGCATGTATGGTCCAAATGGACTGTGATAATCAAAAGAGTAAGCATGTGTTAAAAAAAGCTGGTTTTGTTTCGATGTCATCATCTTATCTTTAGTCTGTCTCCCATACCGGTTCATGGTTTACTATCAGTCTAGTTATCAGGGTATCTAAATCTGTTCTTTGTTTCAGCACCTTTAACTTGAAATGATGTCTTAGGACGCTGCTTATACTGCAAGCATCACCAATCTCTCAGTTAGATGTTCATGCTTCAGCATTTGCTTGAGTCAACCATACTACGTATCTTTTATTGGACATATAATCAGGGAGGACACTGGTGTCTTCACTCTTCATGTATTATGGCTTGCATTCCAGATATGACAAGTCAATTTCATCATTAAATAACATAAAATATGTCACTTTGATGAGATATGGTAGAAATCTTTCAAATAAATTTGAAAGCTACAATTATTAATATTTACTTGCAAATGATAAGAGGCAGGCTAAAGGGCACAAGTTTTGGTCCTGAAATAGGAGGACAAGTGCGGCCATATTAGTCTACTGTGAGATCTGAAATCTTTCATGTGGTTTCTGTTTTACTTATTGATCTCTCATTCAAGAAAGAATAGTTTGTCATGGTTATCATATCTATTTTTCTTAACATGAAAAGGAATTCAATCTTGCGCACACTTTATATCGGTATTTGTCTCAAGGGAAACTTCGATCTTCTTAACTATTTTGTGGAGTGCAAATTTTTACTCTTAGAATAAAATTGGATTTCAGGTGGAAAAGCATAAGATTTTGCAAGCAAGTAGATCTGTACATTTAACAGATGGGTGCAATAAACAAAATATGTACTTGGTAGAGCGGGAGAGTGCAGTGCAGTCAGTCAAAATTAACCATGCAGCTGCATTTTCTGGTAACAGCATCGGTAATAAAAAAAGCATGATAAATTCTGGGCAATGTGTTCCAAGTGAATCAGCAACGTCTCTGATCATGGATTCCAGTACAAGGGCCTTGTCCAATGTAAAGCTGAAATCCTCAGGAAATCCAAAGAAGCCTCCTAGAAGCTCTACCAGCTTCTTTGACAGGTATGAATACCTAACAAACATCCAGTTATCTGTGCCATCATCTCAATGCTTGCAATCTTCAATTATACCAAGATCTTAACTTCCATTTTCATGGTTTCTAACAAAGGTTTCTAACTTGTCCATGCTATTCATATAACTATGTATCTTTCATCGAAGTGACATATTCGGTCCAAAGTTTGCACAAGCTCATTTGGTTTAACAACACAGCTAATTATTGGAGTAAAGCTCTGGCTAATGTGGACTTCTGCATAGCCTTGCTTATCACAGTTGTACATTTTTCTCTGTTTTAGAGGTTACATGTAGATGTAGACGTGTTTGATAAAATGCAACATAATCGTCAATTCTTGTGATTCTCAACTAAAATCTGTATAAGAATTGCAATTCTAATTAGAGGAAACCAATGGATATATCTATATATAATTCATGTTTCCTCAATCGTATTCTTGTACGAAAAAACTAGTCTATCGTAACCCTTTAATTTTTCCTATCAAAATTAATGGTTATAAGCACTGCACATAAACCTAGTTATGAACTGACTTAAACGCCATCTCAAGAGTTAGTATTTTTTTTTATATCTAATATTAGTTAATTTAATTTATTATAAAATATGTATTTACAATCAAAATATATCTTATTTTAAACTATATTTTATGTTATCCTTTGATGTTTATCTTATAAAAAATAAATTTAATTAATTATTTAATTAATATGATTATATTTTTTTAAATAAACTTTAAATTAAATCGACAAATAAATGTACTAATTCACAAATGAGTATATAAGGATTTTTTTAATATGCTTTAATTACACATGACTGTTGATTTTTATGGAAAAAACTGACAAATGAGCATATTAGAGAATGTGGATAAACCGAAGGTTACGATAAATTATTTTTTATAAAAAGGGTATGATTGAGAAAACGTGTGATATATAAGGATACGCTGATGATAGGCTCCCTACAAATTTCTGTTAATGAAGAACAAAACCCCTTTTCGTCTAACTCAGACTGATACTAGAAATTATGCAAAAGAGTCAGCATGGCCAAGTTACATGGGACTAGTAACATATTTCTTTAGTTGCTGATATGTATCTCTTCACTGTCAAACCAGGTTTAGGAAAGCAAACAGTAAAGGTTCCCAAAGCACTGACAGTGCTGGATGGAAGACAACCACCTTGGAAAGAGATTCACGTCCTCTGATATTCAAATATAATGAGGTATGCTAATATTTGCAAATCGCTAAACTTTTGAATATGATAATAGATCGTTGTTGTTTGTCCATCCATGAGCTGCATTGACCGGTTAGGCTTAACTACGTGGGGTTTTTTGATTTGATCAACATTTTAGTTTGCAAAAGGCAAAGAGGACAGAAAATGATGTTTGTCAGGCTTCACATTCAAGTTTAGAAAATGCAGGAGTCAACACCCATCTACATTTGTTACTATTAAGTTTTCTTTTGCCTTTCTCCACGATTTACATAAAATGACTAGCCTGGCTACATCAACATTTCTGGTGTAACCGGTAGTCAATCTGCCCACTGTTTTTATTACTGTCATATATGTTTTCATTATGATAGTATAACTTAAGATGGGCTTCTACAAATGCACTATTATAACAATTAGATAGTGGTGGATCTTTTGATTGACTGCGTTACTGAATGCTGATGCCATTGTCGTTTTGGCAACTAAAATCATGGAAAGCGATAAAATCTGCCCACTGTTTTACCATCAATGTCAACTTCATTTGGTAGCAGCTATTTTTTGAACTCTTAAAAAGCTCTAAAAAGGAACAAAACCCTAACCTGTTTTATGACCATTGTTGACCTCGTAGAAATTTCAATGAAGTTCATTGCTTTAACAACTTATACTTGAACAAAAATCAGATCACATGCTTACTGTATCCTCTTCCCCTCCCTCTTTTCCCAATCTGCGCAGGGTTTTACAAATGCTGTAAAAAGGCCAGTACGGATGCGTGAATTTCTGCTATGATTAATGCAGTGCCTGGAGGCAATAAGACAGCAGTGCCCATTTGAAATCACAATGTAAAGTTCCATGTGTTCATTCCTTGCCTTCTCAAACCTGTGCAGTCCATAATGTGTTCTTATAAAGTAATATATGAACTTTCTTAATCCTTTGGGACGCTGTTTAGCCACATGTACTTGACATCGCTACTTGAGCTGTAGGCTGGTGAGCTGATACAATCTGTCAGTTTTATCAGTGATTTGATAGGAGCCAAAATAGACGTCTATAGTGTTGTTCAGGTCACAGCAGTTTTGGTGATTTTAATACCTGGAAACGTAATAGCTGCAATAGTAAACGTGCCTTTTGTCAACTGTTCATTAACTATATCTTGATGGCTAAAATGTACGGAGCCTAATGAATCGTTGACTGTTTCGATTGACATGCATGAATTATGGGGTATTTGGATTGGTTCCTCAATGATGTCTCGCCATTACTGGAGGTGAGACCATTACCAAAAGGAAGGTCTCGTTCATGCCAGTTAATTCATATCAATTTTTGACTCGGCCTTTATTGTATTTCAGGTGTTTTGATGCTTGGAAATCCTAAACTTAAAAATCAAAATCCATGTTTTTGTGTTTTACTTTGATTTGAAAATGGTATTTGACATCGGAATACTGTTTATGATGATGAAAAGATTGTTATGGTCTTATTGGAAGATTCGGTGACAGGATCTATGGAGTTTTGACAGCAGAGAACGACAGATGACAAAGGGGTTCAGGAAAGCAAAATAAAGGGGGAGCCAATAAAGCGACTGAATTTATTAGCCACTACAACTCCAGTATAGAATTGTCATCTCAATCCACAGCAAATCACAAACCAGTTGCAGCAAAAAATATTAAAAAAAAAAAATCCCCCAATATATTCGTTAGATGAAGACCTGTGAATAGTGAATTGACATGAATTTAAGTTTTCTGCACCGTGTTCAAGATAGTGATTCAAGTACAAATGATACTGAACTTTATAATATCCTAATATGTTTCCGAGAGAGTAGTCAGGAATTAAGGGACAGGTATAGCTAATTTTCTGATGCCAATGTTGGCTACATTACTTTCTTTGCCTAATGAAATGCATCTAAGGAAATTACACCATGGAAAAAAGATAAGGAAAGTGTTTCGACCTCGGTTTCTTGTTACCGGTCATCATTATACATCAAGTTTTCCACGATTTTCACTAGTGATTGAAATCCAAAGCAAAGACACAGTAATGGAAATCAGGCCTGACCAGACATAAACAATTGTCGGTACTCTTCCCCTCCTTCCCAACAGGCCTTTCACAAATGGATACATGTGAGACAGCACCCAGAAGCTGAAAAAGAGTCCTCCCATCAACTTACCCCATTCTGGTATCTCGCTGTATAGTGTCCTCGAGCACCCGATAACAATGGCAACAAGGTTGACTACGATGATGGTAAGTGGCATAAAGAAGAGACCTGTCCACTTGACGATATAAAGATCAGCATAAATATCATCTTCATCCTCGCCTGCAGATTTCGAGGTTAACGTGAAAGAAATCTCAATACCAGCTACGACTTTTAGAAGGCCTTGGATCACAGCAATAAGGTGAGCACTAGTTCCGCCAATGGCCCAAAACTGCTCATTACGCCACCAGTCCTCGAGCCCAATACCGGACCATCTTATTTCAAGAAGGGAGATGAGAGTCAGTGTTACAGTGATGGTTAAGAGGTAAATGAGGAAACTTATATCCAGGCTTTGAACAATGAAGGTTCCTGTGAAAAGGGAAAGCGCAGGGAGGAAGCAGTAAGTGACTAAGAAGAAGGAGGTGAAGGGGTAAATGCCAACATTGAGGTATGCAATTCGCTGTAAGAATTTCAGTCGCCGGCTTCCGAAGAAGGCATTGTTTTTGGAGAAAAAGATTTCAACTGAACCGGTAGCCCATCGTAGCACCTGGTGAAGGCGGTCAGTGAGGTTGATTGGTGCTGTGCCCCGGAAGGCATCTCTCTTTGTTACGCAGTACACAGATCGCCACCCACGGTTGTGCATCCGATAACCAGTCACCACATCTTCTGTGACTGAGCCATAAATCCAACCTATCTTATCCCCCCAGTCAGTCTTGTCCTCACACCTGTGCTCGACATCAAAACACCACGTTCAGAATTTGATTGCTGTAACTAAAAAATGAGGTTCTCGGTACAAGAATCATATGGATATAGGAAGGCATTGGCATGATTATTACCAGCAAGAGATTACAGCAATTGCTTCAGCAACTGTGGGTGCATCTAGAGGAGGACGTGGCAGGAGAAGTGCACCAGGAGGCCTGCCATTCTTCACCGATTTGTGATCAGCAAGCGGCCGTCCTTGGAATTCAGCAACAGCTATGGACTCATTGAACATTGCTGAATTCCCAAACTTCTTTGGCAGGTCTAAGTCAGGGTGCGATGTAAGGGGCTGAGCCTCTGAATCATCTTCTAATTGACCCGGAGCCCTTCTTTTCGCACTGCCGAACATGCCCAAGTACTCGTTTGCCCTTGGTGGGAGGAACCCATACAGTGCATATCTACGAAACATGCACCCTGTTCCTACATACACCGGACCTTGAAGACCATCCAGTGCTCGCATACTTCCTGTTTTGTAAGAAGGTAACGTTCAAGATATGATGATGATGCCTCGAGGTTTCAAAAACAGAAATTTTAGATTAACAAATGAAAACCTTTCAGTTGGTATTTTTGCTTATCTTTGTATCTTTCTAAAAATGGAATATAGGAAAGTGCTTTACAAATATATGGATAGAAATAAATAAAATAGTTTATTTAGCTTCTTCATGCCTACTACAACTAGTTGTTTCGGTTTTCTGCAATGTGTTGTGTTATCTTATTTTTCTCATTCCGGTCTGCTTCAGCAGAGAAGTAGTGTCTTCAAGTCTAGGCAGAAAGTGGAATCCGTATCATTTCAGGTTCCTTATACAAATGACTTGAGTTAAACAATCAAAAACTAATCCTAGAAACAGATGGAGTAGAGGATCACTATGTCTGAAAAGTTTTAGGCATGTGTGTTTTCTTTAGTTCTACAAATATGTTTTCATGGACAGAAAATACCCATTACGACTTGGAAGAGTATAGCCTAAAGTATGCTTAGCCATTTCACAATCTCGAAGATTATTTTCATAATAAAAATGTTATCAATTTCACTTCTAAATTTGAAGTTAAATCCAAATCATTACCATCAAAGAAGACAGTGTTGTGATTTGCATATCGATCGGAGGGGTCGATCCCTTCAAATCTTTGCGGAAACTGAATGTAGCATATGCGGTCACCACCACGGTCCATCATAAAGCACATTCCCTCCCTTATAGCTTGACAATTATAGAAGTAATGATCACAATCCAAGTTGAGTATGAACGGTCCATTGGACAATATAGCTGAAGCTCTAACCAATGCATTCATGGCTCCAGCCTTCTTATTGTGGTCAAAGCCAGGCCTCTTTTCACGCGATACATATGCGAACATTGGTATCCTGATGTCAACTCCAGTGAAATCTAATTTTTTCTCATCTGGCTGACCCATCACCTTCTCATTTTCTGGGACCTTGGTCATTACCTGCATGGGTGCATGGTAACAGATTCAAGTTTCAAAAGTTAATTCAGCACAAGAGCATATCAGCACAGAATCTGTTCAAGAAAATATTAGACAGAGTTGCAGAGGCCATTTAAATCAAGAGACAACACGAGCGTTATCTTTCTCTTTAAATTTGTAGAAAACATTTGTTGACGGATTGAGTAATGCTTGTCAAGCAACGGAAAAACCAAGTAACACTTCACTTTCCTCTTTTATGCCGATGAATGAGAGATCTTTCCATCTTCTTCATGCAATTACTTGATCCTTTTTCATCAACATCGGATCTATAAATGTGCGTATATATTGAGAAATCATTTAGAACTGTAATCACCTGCAAGATACCAGCATGGTCCCCCTTTTTGTGATCCGCTGTTTGATCTAGCCATGTGCCAGGCCACTGGGTACCATCGGCCATCCATGTAGCTTTAGGGACGTCACCAACCCCCTCTGATGGCAACACACCACCATTCTTCTCCCTGGCGAGACTTTTTGCCTTCTTCAGCTCCTTAGAGTTAAATGATTTGCTTCTCCTTCGTATTGCCTCTGGCAGACCATTAATCCTGACCTTGAACTCGTCATACTCTCTCTTCATCCATCTGCGGTCCTTGACAAAATCAGGCCGTTTCTTGTTTTTGGTGTGGTCAGTTTTTTGGTTGAAGTAACTATCCGGATTCCTCAGATCAATGTCGTGTTTTCGACAAAATGGTACCCAAACCTGAGTGAACAATCAAACAAAGCATGATTAGTTACAGCATGTAGAATCTATACGTGTGTAAATTCGATCACTAAACAAATATTCAACGAAATCACAACTTGTGTTTCGTTGGATGTAAGGGATAACATTTTCTGAATTAAACAATATATTGTCCGTAATGCAGCGAAAGGTGGTATGTTTGAAACTCATCTCGGGACGATGCACATTCAAACATTGAATGAAAGCACAAAATTGTTTATTGGTGTCATTTGTGTTTTGGTAATGAAGGGCCATTGATTTCTGTGAAAAGCAACAATGCCAAATGATTTCGATAGGAAATATCAAGTAGGGAAATCTCAGTCCTAGCTTTTAAAGGTTTAAATCACTTCAAACTGGGCTAACTTGTTCTGTTTCTTTCTTTTCCCGTTCATTTTGGTGTTCAAGATTGTAAAAGAACCTCTGCGAATTTAACAGCCTCAGCCATAGCCTCGAAGGTGAGTATGGCACCACCATCATCAGAAATGTAGCAGGAGAGCTTCTCAACAGGGTAGTCAGCTGCAAGAATCGATAAAATTGTGTTGGCAGTGACAAGTGGAGGTTCCTTCTCAGGATCAGCAGTGGAGACAAAAATATCAACTCCTGGAAGGTCTGACCGGCCATGAGGGTTTGCAGGGGAGGGCTGCTCAAACTTGTCGCGCAGAGCAGCAAGGTCAGTGGATCGGTTGATGGGGTTGTACTTAGGAAAAATGTCTAGTAGCCATGAGAAAGCAAACCAAATCTCACAAACGATAGACAGCCCCCACAGCCACATGGCATCACGATTGGGGTTCTGGACTCTCCACCCAAGGAAGAAACATAGAAGTACCAAACGGATCACCACAAGTATCCTGTTCATACAAAACTTGTGTTTAGCAAATTCTAAGATAAATTTTACAAAGATAAAAAGCCTAAATACCCTCCTTAATTTAGCTGAAACCTATATATTATAAGGTCTAGCAGAAAGAAAATCGAGGGTAAACGCAGCTTTCTGCAAAGATTTGTCAAGGAACATATAAAAGAGCGAGCATTCTAGAAATGAAATTCTAACTACCATCTACTATGCTCCTGTTATGTTAAATTCATTTGTTACATATAAAAGAGCGCACCTGTAAGGGCTGAGAATAGCTGCTGGAATCCTAATCTTCCTAGAGAGTGGTTTCCAAGGCTTGTCCAAAAAATCCGACATACTCAGCTCTGAATCCTGACCATACTTGTCTTGGTCTGACCAATACGCATTTCCAACACCGTAGGTTCCTTTTGTCTCAAACAACCACCTGTTGTGATCAAAATCTCCTGTTTGGCTCCTTGACAATATTGATCTATTATTTGATTTCATTATAGACATTCCTCGTTCCGTTTTTGAGTTGTCATTGCTGTGGCCATTGCCACCGCGGCTTCCATAATTATCTTCTTGCTCTCCTGCCCGCCTGGACGCGTTCTGTGCCTCGGAACCAAAACGGCTCGTAGGCCCATCGGATTTATTTTCTGAGGATGGCCATGCAGGCTGGTTATCAGGGGTGGGGGGCATGACAACAGTGTAATTGATGTAGTCATTCTGCCCTGAAAATTCACCAGACAAGTCCAAATCCTCATCATGTGAAAAGCTGGCAATGCGTCCACTAGATGTCCGGCGTGCAAATTTCACAGCCTGTTGAGGACGGCCAGCGGTTGATGCTTGTGATGACAAATTCTTTGCTTTAGGTTTTGTTGAGGTTGCCATGACATAAATGTTGTGGTATTGATGACAAATTCCTCAGAAAACCATTGCTTTTCTTGCAACATACATAGAAATGGTTTTTTGTTCTCGATTGAATTTCTTCCACGAAACTAGAGATTTCATTTTGAAGAAAGGAAAACCACATCGAGTTCGATGGGCCAACGTGGTCCACAATTTCTTTCTATTTTTTAGATTTGTTGCCACGAACTTTGTTCCCTTATTTTAAGCTTAACCTCTCTAATACACATGGCTATAATGTGATTAATTACGTGCAAAATAAATTCTTGACATCTCCTTCTCTCCTCTGGGTTACCAATAGACAGAAGAACTCCCTGAATAGAAATTGAAGGTGCTAGAGAGATATATTATATAACTAAAAAGAGATTTCCTCTTCTCAATCAAACTAATTGAGTAATCGAAGATCAGTTTTGATTCTTGGTAATTATAGTTTTTAATAATATTTATAATTCATGTAACAGTCAAGCAAATCCTCATATATATAGATGTACAGTGCAAACAGAGGGATAAGGAAAAATTATTTTCTACTTGGCGTCAGCCTAAACCTACAACCCTCACCTATGTTTCTTCTTTTAGTGTTTCTCTTCCTTTTTCTTGTTTCTTTCTCATGTCCACCATCTCTTTTGCTCTCTCTCTCAAAATACTGCTCAATTCACCAAACTTACTGAAATCAATTATCTCATCTGGCTTCGACAAATCAAACCTTACTTTTATGGTACCAAACTTTAGGGATATGTTGATGGCACCATTCCTCAACCATCTCTCACCATCCTGACTACTGCTACTGACACTCAATCTGCAAGATCCATTCCTAATCTTGATCATGCTAGTTGCTTCACCATTGACCAACAAATTATTAGCATCCTCACCACCACTCTATCATAAAACATTGCACAACTTACCATTGGTTTCGACACATCAAAAGTAATTTGGGACTGTCTTGAACGTCACTTTTCCCAGAAGTTTGTAGCAAGTGCAACCAATCTCAAAATGCAACTTCTTGATCTCAATAAAGGCACTCAATTTGTCGACACTTATCTTCGTCATGCTAAATCAATTGTTGATGCTTTGATTTCTATTAACAAGCCTGTTCCTGATGAGGATTTAGTCATCGCCACTCTTCATGGTCTTGGCCCTGATTATCTTATGCTTTGTACTGTCTTTACTCAAAATCCTCTGCTCCCTAATTTCACTGAACTTTGGGCTCGAATTCTCTCTTTTAATGCTCAACAATCTCGTCCTGCTGATTCTTCTACAGCAATCGTTTTTTTAAATCACAACCAAACTCCCTCTACCTATCGTGATCACCACCCTAATACCGGCCACCAATTTCCCACTAGTGGTCATCCCAACAATGGTCGCTTCAAACGTGGTCGCTTTTCTCAGCAGCACGCCACTCCACAGTCACAGGTTGGGTCTTCTTTTCTTATGCAACAGCCTTCATTAGGGCCGTTTACTTCACCAGCATGGGCTGCTCGTCCTCTACAAAATGGTATTCTTGGCCCAGCACCTCAATGGTGTTCCAATTGTCACTCAAGTCACCATGAACTTTCTCAATGTCCACATAGATTTTCTGGTCCAAACACAGCCGCTCCATTTGCTGATGTACATTATGCTGATGATCCAAACCAAACTGGTGCCTAGACACAGGTGTAACCCATCACATGACATCCATGAAAATCAATAATTCTCAATCCTATGGTGGGCCGTATAATATCTATATGGGTAATGGGGACGCAATATCTGTTTCTCGTATTGGTAACCTTCGTTTTTCATTAGGCTCTTTTACTTTCACTCTATGAAATGTCTACCGTATTCTATCTATTCCCAAAAATTTTCTATCTTTTGCTCGTTTCACTAAAAATAATCATGTTTTCTTTCTCTTTGCACTGACTTCTATCAAATATATTGCTTACACACTGGATGCTTATTATTTCAGGGCCCTGCAAAGATGGTTTGTATCCGCTTAATCTTTTAAGTGTTTCTGCTTCTCCATAAGCCCTTGTTTCCGTTCACTTCTCCATCTAGCACAATCATTTAGGTCATCCATCATCAAATGTCCTTGCACATCTAAGTCCTATAATTAATTCCAATTTATCTTTCCCTTCTTTTTATCGAGATTGTGCACTTAGCAAGTCTTATCAGTTACTTTTTAATTCCAACAAAAGACTGCTACTACTCTTTTTCATATTATACATGGTAATGTCTGGTCCTCCTCTACTATTTCTATAAGAGATTTCAAATGCTATGTTTTATTTATAGATGAATTCTCACGCTACACTTAAATTTACCTCATATGTCATAAAAATGAAATCCCCACTCATTTTCAAACTTTAGCTGCCAAAATTCAAAATATTTTTCACGAAACCATTCAATTTCTTCTAAGTGATAATATGACAAAATATATCACTAATACCTTTTTTTATTTGTAAATTCTCGGGAATTTAACAAAGATTTTCTTGCCCTCATGCACCATAATAAAATGGCCTTACCAAACATAAACACCACCATATTGCTACAATAACTCGCAATCTCTTTCTCATTTCTGGTACTCCACATCATCTTTGGGTTGAAGTTGTTTTAACCTCTATTTACCTTATTAATCTTCTTCCTACTCTTACTCTTTATTGGGATACTCCACATACTCATCTTTATGGCATCCTGCCTTCCTATTCCTCTATTTAGGTTTTTGAATGTTCATGTTTTCCTTATCTTGGGTCTTATATCTCTGATAAACTTTCGAGTTGGAGCAGCAAGCGTGTCTTTTTTGGTTACAGTTCTTAACATAAAGGTTATCATTGTCTACATCCTACAACCGATCATGTCTATATTACTAGGCATGTTATTTTTAAATAAATATTTTTTTTCTTATAAACAGTTGCAAGCACATTCAGTTTTTGAAGCTGATTTATTAGAATTCACACTTTTATCCAGCTTAGAACTTCCACAACCTGCTCTTTCTGGTCCAAACCTACCTGCTGAGAACAATAACTCTCTTTATCTTGTGTCTTAACCAAAGCAAGAAGTGGATATTGAATTCCCAATTACAGATGTCATACATGTGTAGTGTTGCAGTGAGAAAAAATATGAATTAGGGAATAGCCTAAAAATGGGTTATAACAACAGCATCATCGACTCCATCTCAGTCTATGGTGCCCACCGCTGCCCACATCCTCATTTATCAACGCCGACATTCATTATATCTAGATACTTCACAGATAGAATCCACACCTCTTCAACCATCTGCCCATGATATAGTTGTTACATAACTGATCTCAGGTGATCCTTCTTTTGTCGCTAATTCTCTAGCACCATCCACACCTTCATCACCTACTCCTCAGTCTCTTTATACACTACCAAGAACATCACCCTTTCCACCCAAGAGGACATGTCTACAACATGGTATTATGCAATCTAAAATTCACACAGATGGCACTATCAAATATCCAATTCCTCATGCTTTCCTCATTATCATTGAAACTACAAAGCCTACATATTATACTCAAGCTTCTAAACATGTGATATGGCATGCTATAATGGCTGATGAAATCAATGCTTTGCTAAAAAATTAAACTTAAACACTAGTTTCTTATTCCTCTCAAAATCTTGTTGGCTATAAATGGGTATTTCGAGTAAAGCATAACCTAGATGGCACAATTAAATATCATAAAGCACAACTTGTAGCTAAATAATTTCATCAATAACAAGATATAGACTATATAGATATCTTTAGCCCTATTATTAAACCTGCAACTATTTGTGTTGTACTTTCTCTTGCTGTATCTAGAGGCTGGCCACTTCATCAATTGGACGTTAAGAACACGTTCCATCATGGATTTCTTAAAGAAGATGTTTATATGACTCAACCATCATGATTTATTAATCTGTAATGGATATCTCATGTTTGCAATCTCAACAAGGCTATCTATGGCCTCAAGCAAACTCCTTGTGCATGGTTTCACCGAATGACATGTTTCTTACTATCAGTTGGTTTTGTTCAGAGCTTGGTTGATTCATCTCTGTTTGTTTTCCAACATGAGTGTCATATAATTTATTTTCTCCTCTATGTTGATAACATTATGGTCAAGGATAGTAATGATAGACTTTTACAAAGTTTTATTGATGCTTTAAGTCGGGCTTTGATATCAAAGATCTTGGAAATCTACATTACTTTCTTGGTTTGCAGGTTATATCTCAAAATAAAGGTGTTCATATCAATCCACTCAAATATGCATATGATCTTCTCATGAAGCATGATATGTTGCTTAATAAACCCGTGAGTACTCCGATATCAGCAAAGGATATTCTCACTTCTAATGACAATGCTCTCCTTCCAAATCCAACAGCTTTTTAAGAAATTGTTAGATCCTTACAGTGCTTGACAATCACTCGCCCTGACATTGCTCAGTTCATAAGTCAACTATGCATCCCTCACTTAATTGTTGCTAAGCACATACTTCGCTACATTAAAGGCTCACTTAACCATGGCCTATTTTATGGTCCTTAGCATTATCCTACTTATCTTGCTGCTAATGCAGATGCTAATTGGGCTGGCTGTTCAGAATTTCGCCATTCAACATCTAGTTTTCTTGTTTATCTTGTCACTAACTTAGTCTCTTGGTCCTCTAATATGCAACCTACCATTGCTCATTCTAATGTTGAGTCTGAGTATCGCTCTCTTTCTCATGTTAGTGTAGAGACTACTCAGTTAGCCTACTTGCTCTATAAACTTAGTGCATACATTCAGTTTTCCATTCTCTTGCATTGTGATAACTCAACGCTACGTACATGGCTTTTAATCCGATATTTTATACTCATACTAAACATATTGAACTTGATTATCACATTTTCTAATGACAGTGCTCTCCTTCCAAATCCAACGGCTTTTTAGGAAATTGTTAGATCCTTACAGTACTTGATAATCACTCGCCCTGACATTGCTCAATTCATGAGTCAACCATGCATCCCTCACTTAATTGTTGCTA